GGTCTGCTTTCTTTATGGTCCAGCTCTCACTTCCATACATCACAACAGGAAAAACCATAGCTTTGACTATTCGGACTTTCGTTGGCAATGTGATGTCTCTGCTTTTTAAGATACTGTCAAGATTTGTCATCACTTTCCTCCCAAGAAGCAGGCGTCTTTTAATTTCATCGCTGCTGTCTCCATCTGCAGTTATCATGGAGCCCAGGAAGATAAAATTTGACACTGCCTCCATATCTTCCCCTTCTATTTGCCAGGAGGTGATGGGACCCATGGCCATGATCTTAGCTTTTTTGATGTTGAGCTTCAGTCCATTTTTTGCACTCTCCTATTTCACCCTCATTAAGAGGCTCTTTAATTACTTTCTGCCATCAGAGTGGTATCATTCATATATCAGAGGTTGTTGTTTCTTCCGGCAATCTTAATTCCGGCTTGGCATTCCTCCAGTCCTGCCTTTCACATGATGTATTCTGCATATAAGTTAAATAAGCTGGGGGACAATATACAGCCTTGTCATACTCCTGTCCCAATTTTGAACCAATCAGTTATTCCATATCCAGTTCTAACTGTTGCTTCCTCTCCTACATATAGATATCTCAGATGATAGATAAGGTGGTCAGGCACTGCTATTTCTTTAAGGACTTGCCATAGTTTGCTGTGGTCCACACAGTCAAAGGCTTTTGCGTAGTCAATGAAGCAGAAGTAGGCATTTTTCTGGAACTCTCTATCTTTCTCCATAATCCAGCGCAGGTTAGCAATTTGGTCTCTAGTTCCTCTGCCTCTTCGGAATCCAGCTTGTACTTCTGGGAGTTCTCGGTCCACATACTGCTGAAGCCTACCTTGGAGGATTTTGAGCATAACCTTGCTAGTGTGTGAAATGAGTGCAACTGTACAGTAGTTGGAGCATTCTTTGGCACTGCCCTTCTTTGGGAAGGCTTCCCGCTCAGAAAGAAAGCTCCCAGATAGCACTGGGGCAGGAAGTGGAAGCTGAGCAGGGGGGGTTGGACTCGATGGCCTCCGAGGCACCGTTTGACTTAATTCTTCTCTATGATTCTATGAATTAAAACGGGAGAGAAATGTAATAAAATAGTTGGGTCTTTGATACATACAGGAGTTATGGACAACAGCAAATACAGAGGAAAAATGGGTTGCCTTAAAACATGTTCTGTGCCTTAACAATGTCGGGGTTTTTTTGGAGAATCAGCAACCGAGGGAGAATTCCTGCTTATTTTCTCCCCCCTCCCGGTGCCACTTGGAAAGCATGCCATTCTCAAAATAGGGCAGGGTTTGGCCCACACTTCTGCCAAGTTTGATTTCCCTCACAGGCCAGTGGCTCTGCCTTCTTATCCTATCCACGCACATGGCCGTTCTGGATTCATCTCCGCTCTGCCTTTGGCTTCCCAATTCCCCCCCCCCCGAGGGTTAGCAAGCCCGGCTTCGGAGTCCGGGAAGAAACAGAGGAGGTCCGAGGCTCTGCCAGGAAACGCAGCCGCCTGCCGGAGATTTGGAAAGTTCAGGCACATATTCTGTGTCTGGATGAGACCAGAAGCGGTGAGGTGATGGTTGACAAGAGATCCAGCAATGTGATTTTTTGGTACAGATGTGAAAAACCTCCATCTGCTTTTAGCTGCCTTTCCTCCCCACCCTGAAGTGGCATCTGGTTTTGAGATTTTTCCCACTCTTGAAATTTGGACATACGTTTTTCAAAATAATCGATTCTTTAAAATGTGCATTAGCTGCACAGATCTGCATCTTGTGCTTTCTTGTCTGCAATACACATTGGGGGGGCATTTCTGTCTTATTACTTTTTTAATTTTCCTTCATGGAATAGAGTGTTTTCCCCCCCTCTAAATTGTTGACGTTCTGTGCCATTTTGATCATTTTATCTTTATAAGTCAGCGCACGGGAGCCAGGAGAAGCTGCCGTAAGAAACTAGCGTTCACGTTACAAGTGGAATACCAGCCGTGTGCATTCCCAAACTGTTACCGGAGAAAAAGATTTCCAGCTTGCTTTCTGCTGACAGTAAATCTCTTATTTGAGCCAGGGTAATTCACATGGAGAGGCATCCATCATTTCAGGATGTGTGAGCCGTGTCTAGTTGCTTATTGTGGGTTCTTCTTTCTGGGGCATTGGAAGCTGTGAGCGCTCGCTTACCTTACGTAGATCAGCTCCTGCAAGCAACGGAGACAGCACAAGGGCAGAGGCCCAACAGATTTCGCAGCCCGAGGCAGAGGAACCCTCCCCACCGCATTCAAGAGCTGATCCTCTTGACTTGCCCGTACATAGGAATGGCCAAAAGCGATACCTGCACGATGCGGCAGGCAGCCATGTGCTGAGAAGCCAGAAGGCTGCCTTTTTCCTCTTCCCTCCTCATGCCTTTTTCCTTTTCATGCTGTGTCCCTTTTCTCCATTGAACCCTTGAAGCAGGATAAAACACACCTCAAATAAGTAAATAAGGAGAACCATACGATCTTGAGCAGTCTGTGAAAAGAGAAAGAGGCAAGCCTGTCATGAAGATCTGATGAGGGGTATTTTCTCAGGGTTCGGTTTGACTGATTAGACTTAAGCAATGTTTTCCAGGCATCTCTTTTCCTGGAAAACTTGGCCAAACTCCTCAGCCAGTCAGTCTAGCAGCAGATCACCCTTGCAGCCACGAGGGCTAGAAACTTAACTTCAGTTCCATGGCCAGGCCCCTGTTCTACGATTTTTCTACCCTACCCATGAATTCTGGGCAACCTATTCTGATGGATCAAAAGAAGAACTCGGACACATGTCAAAATATCTGCCGACTTTCTTTCCCACTTTGGTGATGGAAAAAGCTTACATATAATTTTGGAATGGGGGTTGAAGATTCCCTGGGGCTGTGAAAGGGTTGCCTTAAAACAGCTTAAATGCTCCCAACTAGGCAAGGGTGTTGTTTCCTGGTTAGGCTTTCGGTGTTAGGACATGCCACTGTCTTTATCATGAGATGGGTGCTTCTCTCATGCGTCTAAAAATCCCACCCTCCCATCAAATGTGTAATTTGGGACAAGACAATGCCAAGCATTGGCCGTTTAAGTAGCACAGAAGGAAAGTCCAGCAGAATTAGCTTTCAGCATGGTGGTGGTGGGGAAAACACAACTTTCTCAGCTGGCTATGATCTCCGGAAAGATTTCTGGGAACCAAAGAAAAATGGTGGATTTTGAAAGTCTACATTCTCCAAGGAGAGTTCCAGAAACTAGGCAGATGGGTTGATCCATCTTTTTTTTAATTTATTGTTGTTGTTGTTGTTGTTGTTTGGCAGATGGGTTGATCCATCTTTTTTTAAATATATTATTATTATTGTTTTGCAAAGACCAGACAAACAGTAATCTTACAAAAGAAGCTTTGAGGCGTCCCAACAAATCAAGACTATAATGCAAAGTTCAAGTGGACCGTGACTACAACCCAGCATAGCTTTATTAAACGCAAGAGGTGCCATGTAAACATCTGGGTCTCCTGGATCGGGACACTTGCAGAGCCTTCCAGAGGTCCACCGAAGGGCCGGGTGGAATCAGCGAAGACAGGAGCCGGAAGGGGCCTCAAAGGCCGTGGGGGCCGACCTCCTGCTCGAAGCTGGCATCCAAGTGAAGAGGAGAATTCCTCTTGAAGCCCTCCAGCGTCGTGGGTCCCATTGTTGTGCTGCTCTAACAGTTAAGAAAGTTTTTCCTGATATTCAGCCGAAATCTGGCTTCCTGTAACTTGAACCCATTATTACATGCCCTGAGCTCTTGGATGATGGAGGACAGATCCTGCCCCTCCTCTGTGGGGCCACTTTTCAGTTCTTTGAAAAGCGCTCTCCTCTCTCCCCTCCGCCTTCTTTTCTCAAGGCCAAATGTGGCCAGTTCTTTCAGTCTTTCCTCCTCCCAGGGCTTGATTTTCCAGTCCCCTGATCATCCTTGTTGCCCTCCTCTGAACGATGCACACGCAGGTCACTTCAACATCCTAGGTTAACAATCTTCACAAAAGCCTCGTAAGGTCAGCCACTGTCATCCTTCTTCAGAATTCCCTTTGGTCTGAATTTTTTTTTTTTTTTTAGGAAACCCGCTAAATCTGCTAAGATGCACTTAGTCCTGGTTTTGGCAGCCTGTAAAAACACCCAATCGGTCTGCCGGTCAGCCCATCCGCAGCTTATTCCTGCGGCCCCTAAAGCTAACCCTTCCACCCCTAGGTACAGTGAAATACTTCAGGGGAAACGCTGGATGGGAAAAACACCCTTGGTCTGCAGTGTTGGAGGAGCCGAGTTTGCTGGTCCCTGGAGGTTCTGGGTGAAGTCACAAAGACTTCAGAGCAAAGTTCTCCTCACCAACTTGGGAGGAAAACTCTCCGTGGAGATCAACCCTACTCTGAACCCAAGGGCTCCATTTGTTTCCGCCCCACCCAACGCTTATGAGTGTGGGCCACTTCCCTGGGGTCCAGCTGGTTTCACGGAGAGGCTCAGAGCTCTCAAGCGGACGTCCCGCCTGCCTGGAAAGCTCTCGACCGGACGTTGGCCCAGGGCCCCATCCTTGACCTGTGCCAGAATGGGCGGCCCTCTCCCCTCTTTCCTCCCCCTGTTTATGGCGACCTCCTTCCTCCACGCCTCCACCGACAAGGCCTTCCTGCGGGTGGTGTTCAACCACCACAGCCTCAGCCAAGATTTCGAAGCCCTGCCGTCTCATTTCGGGCCGGTCCGCCCCAGCGAGACCTTCCTGGGTTACGTTGTGGAAGCCAAGCCGGCCAACGCCTGCCACCCCATCGAGGCTGCGCCTCGGTCCAACGGTTCCTCGGCCGCCTTCGCGGCCCTCATCCGGAGGTACGACTGCTCTTTTGCCACCAAAGTCTCGCACGCCCAGAGAGCAGGGTTTCAGGCCGCCATCGTACACAACGTCCGGTCGCAAACTCTGGTGAGCATGGTGAGCAAGGAGAAGGGGCCCAGCCCACCGGTAGACATCCCTTCTGTCTTCATCGGCGAGTCGTCTTCCACTCAGTTGAGGAGAATCTTCCATTATGACCCAACGGCCTACATCATTCTCATCCCCTCGCTCTCCCGCTGGGACACCGGCTGCACCGAACCCGGACGAGAACGTCCACCCCAGGGCACCCCCCGCTTCCGCGCCCGCTGCCCTGGCGTCACCGGAGCCCACATCCTCCTGGTCGGCCTCACCCTCGCGATCTGGATGGTGGCGTTTTACTTGGTGCGTTGCTTGTAATGATTCGATCCATCGGGAATCCTCTCCCCGCAGTGAAAGGCCATCGTTTCCATGGATCATTAGGCCACAGACTCAAAAAAAAATTAAAAAAAATTAATGTCTTCCTGACTGTTAACGAAAACTCCTGAATGTTTGCTTCATTGTTTTGTGTGTCTAAGTCAGGTGTGAGAAACCCATTGTTTCCCATTTTTAAGACCAACCCTCCAGGGGGAACATCGGTGAGGGTTAAAGCGTGTGATGGGGTCCGGTCTTTCTCCTTTTCCATCCCTTGGTTCTTCCTTCTTTCTCTCTGCTTTCTCTCTCTTCCTCAGTTTCCTTCCCCCCGCAAGGATGGAAAACATGTGGCCAGCGGGGCAGGTGCCATGTTGGCACGTGTTCCTTCCTTCCTTCCTTCCCCACCCCCCTTGCCTAGCCAGCTACCAAGGGAAGGATGATGGCTCTCCTCCAGGCACCCGAGTTAATCGCTCACAGAGAGCTCGTGAGATCAACATCTCTGCATCATCTTCCATTTTAATGGCCATGGTTCAATCCTGCTGCTCTCAGCTTCCTCCGTTTTGTCCTGTTGCTCTGCCGGGCTGCAGGGAAAACAGGTTGGAGGCTGAAGAGAGCTGAGATCTGCCGGTTTACGTCAGGTACCTAGAAGTCGTCCTATGACCTATACCATCGCAGGCGAATCATCAGTTCCTCTAAGCTTGGAGTTCCCTACACAGGCTGGCAGCAGGCATCCTGTCTGAGGATCCGTCCCCAAGTTCCAGTCCAGACCACATGCCTAGTCTAATTTCGCTCACCTCCTATAAAGAAGACGGGTCTTTTCCCACAGCCCTCTGCTCCTCCTCCCCCCGCCTCAAATCCACAAAGTGACCCTTCACTTAGGCTTCTTCTGTTTCCCAGGCGATGCCGCCCCCCACGTGCATGACCCAACTCCCAAGGTCTCTCTGAACACAAGCAGAGGTTTAAAGTCCTGGGGTGAAAGGAGACCCACCCCAGGACCTCAGAGGGGAGGTGGAAGGTCACAACTCTATTGTCACGTGGTCTGATCGTGTGACACCAAGTTCCCAGCTCAGAAAGAAAGCTCCCAGCTGACACTAGGGCAGGAAGTGGAAGTTTGGGCCTAGCTTGGCCTAGCTAGGCCTCAAAGCCTTAAAGACTAGGCCTTTTCGCCCAGGTGAGCCAAAGTCAGGTGTCTAAAATGTCATAGAGAACTCTCAGACTGGGGGGGGGATCATGGGATTTGTAGTCCAGGAAATCAGAAGTTCCCATCCTGTACGAGGAACAGTGGTGAGCATTGGATTTAGTTTGGATCGAGAGATGATACGACCGCCACCATCACACATTTGAATGGGCATGAGGTGCACGGTGGATGGTGCTTGTTTTCTGGACCTCAGGAAGGTAGAATCTAAAGTAATGGGTTCAAATTCAAAAAAGATTTTGAGTAAACTTTAAAAAGAAATGCTCCACTGCAGAGCCCGAGGCTGGGCCTCCTGGACACGGGTTGGACTGGAATCGGGGCCTCCTGGACACAGGTTGGACTGGATGACCTTTAAGGACCCCTTCCGTTCTAAGATGATTATTCCCACTGGAGAGGAACCTTTAGGGACCCCTTCCAGCTCTTCCATTCTAAGATGATTATTCCCACTGGAGAGGATTGATGACATCGTTACCTTGAAGTGATCAGAACAACGAACCCCATGGGTGGAGCTGACCGGACCCAGGTCAGTGGTCAAAATGGTCTACACAAGATACCATCTGGAGCTCAGCAGTGGAGCGAAGGGTTGGGAGTTTGATTCCCCCACTGATCCTCCTTGACAGGGGCTGGACTGGATGATCCCTAGGGGCCTCTTCCAGCTCTACAGTTCAATGAGGATGATGATGGTGGTCCAAACCTCATATCTCCTCAGTGGTGAGGGAAGTTGGGTCTCTGGCTGTGGAGCCAGAGGTTGGGAGTTCGATTCCCCCATTGGGCGTCCTTGAATGGACTGGATGATTTCCAGCTCTGCTGTTCTAAGATGATGATGATGATGATGATGTCTTAGCTGTATATGTCTACAGCCTAAAGGGGCTACACCTAATGACCCTTGGGGTACCTTCCACCTCGAGAATACTGGATTATAAATGTAATGAGGAGGTGCTTGCTAACATCATGAGAGCAGAGAGACAATCATATTTTGAGTTGAAATTCCAGTTTTCCGACCTTTTCCCCCACCTCTCGCCCCTATCCAAAAACCAGATCTTTGGGTCATCGATCTAGGTAGCTTTTGGATTATTGATCTAAGCAGCTTTCAAATGAAGTTCTTTCCATCCTATCATGGCTGTTTTGAGGCAGAATTAATCTCTCCCTCCACCCCCCAGCTTTCCTTTCCTTATTAAATGATTTTGTTTTAACTCGCACCGAGCCTGGCGTCCGATGACTTCCATGCAGTGGGATCGATGCTGCTCAGAACTGATAGAAAAATTAAGCAGGTTTAATAAACTTCACGCATGGCTTCAGTACGATCGCCGGCGAACATCGAAGAACGGAAAGAACTCTATCGACATCCTCTGCCTTAGAATAGCGCTGATAAGTCACCCCGGTGCAAGGTCCTGATCGTTAAAAAGGAGGATGAGAAGCCAAAGGGAGGGGAGAAAGTGTTTCTCAGCCCAGAGATGACTGTGGTGGTGAAAACAGATGTAATCTCTAAAATCCTCCTCCTCTTAGAACTGCAGGGCTGGAAGGGACCCCTTAGATCATCTAGTCCAGCCCCTGTCAAGGGGGCTCCGTGTGGGAATCGAACTCCCAGCCTCTGAGCTATTTATTGATCATCATCCTCTCAGAACTGCAGACTTGGAAGGGACTCCATAGATCATCTTGTCCAGCCCGTCAAAGAGACCCCGCGGGGGATTCGAACTCGCAACCACCGGCCCCACCGCCAGAGACCTCCACCCTTGAGCTGTCGGGATGGCCGCCTCCTGCCTCTGTGACTCTCTTGGTTTCTTGGGGGTGCTGACAGACAGGAAAGGAATCCGTGATCCTGTCAACCTCTTTCCGTCGGGGCATGGAAACCACCAAACGGGGAGGATCCAGAAGCATCCACTGGAAAATGAAGGGTTCCCCCCTCTCGGGGCCGTTGGGAGCGAATTCAAGAGGGTTCCCCTCTTGTTCACTTGGCTTCCCTCTCTGCATCCCACCGTCAAGGCGCTTCCTTTCTCCCAACCGGCCGTAGCCCAGTGGATAAGCATCTCCTGCATTGGGGAGCCCCCTTGGCTGGGGGGAGCTTTGAAAATGGGGCAGAACCATACCCCAAGAGGGGAAGAAGCAGAACGATGACAGAGGCGGCAGCAAAGGCCAAGCAGGTCACTGGCCTCCGCGGGTCTGGAACGAGGGCAAAAAATCCCAATGACCGAGCATCCTAGCCCAGAGCCGTCCAGCGTATGAAAAACTTTTGGTTTCTTAAGTTCTTTATTCTTACCCGGTGGGCGTTGGAACAGGCTTACAACGGCCCACGCCAATCGCACATCTGTTCTGTCCCCATCTGGCTTGCTTTTCTCTCTCCCCCCCTTTTTTTTTAAGTTTACAGTATTTTCGATGCTGTGGAGGAAACAGCAGATGACCTTTGGGTTTTGGCTACCGACAGTCCGTCTGGTTTGACCTTCTCGTCGCCGAAAGGCCAAACAGATGCCTTCAAGAAAGGCTACACATGGGACGAAACTGGCCCTCCTGCTCTTGGTCCTCTTGTTTAGCCACTTAAGCTAGACTGCTTCTGTGGGTGGAGGTTTTGCCACCCCCCCTCTGCTGACTAGAAAACAGAGTGAAGGGAGATTCCTGTGACCTTGCCCAGCTTTCATGCGCTTGTTTTATCAAATGTGGGCCTCCAAGTCATTTTGGTGGTCAGCAATCGAGGATTTGGGCCCAGCTGTTTCTAAAATACAGTATTAGCTATTTCTCCGTGGATTTAAGGCCATCTCTCTCTATTTTAAGGATGGCTCTTTGGGTCTTAGGTCATTCCTCAGCAAGGATGGGCAAAGGGCAGCCTGCCAGTTGTTGTGGGGCTACAGTTCCCATCATTACTGGCTATGCTGGCTGTGGCCGATGGAGGTTGCAGTCCAACCGAATCAAGAAGTCTGCATTTTGCCCACACCAATCACTGGAATCATATCTGATGCATTTTGTTTTACGTTCTTTGCATACATTAAAGTTTTGGATCTAAGCTAGAACTTGGAAATAACTAGTTGCAAGTAACATAATTACCTCTAATTAGATACTTTTGGTGTAATGATCAATGTAGGACTCCCATGCACAAAATTGCTTCTTATGTCTTAAGTGTAGTTGTTGACATCTAGTTACATGGATTTAATAGTTATTTTTCTAAGTCATTTTAAGACATTCTGACTTTTTAAAGGTTTTATGTCATTCTCTTGTCAATCCTCAATGGGAAGGAAAGTACAGTATTCCTTGGTTATGACTTTGTACTTTCATAAATGTTTCCGAGGTGCAGTATCAGAACTGGCCACTAAAGGGAACCAGAGAGCCTATTCTGCCCATTGAGAAAGAAAATGCAAGATACTAATAATCTGCAACTCAACAGATGATAGGTGGCTTCAGAACAACAGAAATAGAATCCTGGCTTTAAAAATAGTGAGTAACTCAAATTTCTTTTAAAATGTAACTTCTGAGTTGGGTTTTTTTTGTCTGCTTCCTCTTTCTCACTCCTTTGTACTTTTGCTCCTCCCCTCTTTCCCCTGTATTTTTCTTTCCTGGGAAACATGGTGAATTATGTTTCTGAGTTGGGTTTTTTTTTTGTCTGCTTCCTCTTTCTCACTCCTTTGTACTTTTGCTCCTCCCCCCCCTTCCCCTGTATTTTTCTTTCCTGGGAAACATGGTGAATTATGCATGAACACACACCCCAAATAAGTATTTCTGAAAAAAAAATATGATTATCATTTGTACACCGTTATTCTGTCTAACGAGACATCTGCTCCCCCCACACCCCGTGCAAAAGAACTCCAAAGAAGGCCACGGGTGGCTTCCAGGCTTTTTTCTCCGAAGCTTTCTCGGAGTTGGTTGCATTCTGTTCAGGTGCTATTTCCCCCACCCTACCCTGAATAAGGAAAAAAAAATTCACTGGCGTTCCACCACTCTTCTGCCACCAGAAGCCTGCCTTACACCCTCTCCCCCCTCCTACTGCAAATTACATCCCCCCCCACCTCTGCAGATGCAGACCTGCCGCTAAGCCGGGGAGGTCTGTTCCCCGGGGTAATCTACAAAAGTACACATTGTTATTCTCCGGGACGCGAGAACAATCAGCACGGGTTTGCAGTAATGCTGCGAGATGGATTGAAGCTCCTTAAAAAGTGAACGGTTGCTTTTCCTTCCCGGAGAACTGTTTGGAAAGGGAAGGGGAGAGGGGGAACATAAAGGAGGGGGGGAACATAAAGGAGGGGGCTGCCCCCCCCAATCCATTCCAAAAGTCAGCGGGAGGGTGAGGACAAGGAAGAGTGAGCAGCACTCCTAATGGGTTGCCTCCGTGGTGGCTGCAGACTCTAAGCAGTTGAAACTGGTCTCTGAAGTGGATCTAGCTTCTCGGAAAGTTCTGAGCAAAATCCAGAGTGGATTCACAGCCGCTGCAACCGGCTTTGCCGACTACCCCTCGGCTGACGCCAGCTCTGGCAGTTCGCAAGACCAGCAGAATTGGGTGTAAGAAGTGTGCTCTGAGTTCTGTGGGGAGTGAGGAAACCAACATGCCGACACCTCCAAGGCTCTCCTCCTGCATTGGGGATTGTGGTTGTGTACGAGGGCACCGACGCTCCTACAGTATATAACCGTAAGCCTATAAGAAGAGGTAGACTTTTCTGAATCCGAAATTTAAACAGTGTCTTTGCAATAAGTTTTTGTTTTCCCCCTGCTGCCGCCGATAAACGGGCCGATAAATCAGGCACCAAGAGCCTGATCCGTATTAAAAACAAAAGATATTGCCCTTATGCGTCTTGCTTATATAAACCGAGGCAAGGTTTTAGTCTCACTCTTGCACTGGAGATGACTTCGTTTCAGAGGGGAAGAGCTCTGGATGGGTCCTGTTTCGCTTGGATTTCAAATCAGAGCAGAATTTCTTTTGATTCACTTCTAGTGACCGACAGAGCTCAGAGACAGAGTGGGGCATTTTTGTGCAAAATTCTGTGCAAGTAACACAAAACCACCCTCTCACAGGTCTGAGGAACGGTATTGTGAACACCTGCCATATCTTCTCCTTGATCGATGAGATGAGCCAGATTTCGCCTTCCGATCCTCAAATAATTCCCGGGGCTTCGGAAACCGTAAATGAGGGTCAGAGACCTGAGGATAAAAACTGAGATTCAGATTACAGTACGTCGTACGAAAGCCTTTTTTTAAAGCCCCCCCCCCCGTAAGCACGGAAAGCGATTAGGGAGGGACACGAGAGACAAATTAGAGAAGGGGGTCTAACCGGAGTCTTACGGTTTACGGTCGGAGGTGATTTGGTATGTTTAGAAGCTATTATCAAAATCATGTAAGCTCCTGGGTGATTTAGAAGAAACAAGATTATTGTGTGTGTACTTTTTAATAACATGGCAAAAGGAGGGGAGGCATGGCTTTGATCCCAAGAGTGGGAGAAGAGGCCAAACCGAGTGGAGCGAGATGAGAATGCAAAGGGTGGAAATTCTGCACTAAATTACCGACCGAGTCAGCCTGATTCAGATCTGAGCAAATCAGGACAGCTGAATTTTGCTCTGGAACAAATTGAACCAAATTTACTGACCGGGTAAGATCTGGAGCACAAAGCAAGTCTGACAGGGCCAGAAAAAAAAAAAAAAGAAAAGCTCCTGTCTCATCGCTCAGGAGCCAGATGTAACACTGGGCCACATGCACACACACACAACACACAGCCTGAAAATTGTGTAGGTTGGCTCCTCTCTTGAAGGCCTGCCCTTCTCTGTGCTTGCTGTGTGTTGCTCTGAAAACAAAAGGACCATTTTGGTTTTCCAGCGGAAGTCGAGGAGGGGTGAACGATCCGAATTTCCAGATCGGTTCAGATCAGGGCACAGATCAGGCACGGATCCAGTTTGAACCAGGGTCTGTTCTGAAGTCCCAGATTGGGTTCTGAACTGGACCAGTGAGGGTGGCTCTTTCCCTCATGTCCTCTGCCTTGCTCTTGCCTTCTCTTCCTCCTCAAAAATCCGGGGGTTAAGAAGATACGAGATTTGGAAAAGCTTGAAGGCTGTAGCCATCAGCTGGATGGATCTGCTTCATAGAAAGCAACTAAACAATGACTTATGGGGGCTCAACCAATATGTGGGTTTGGTGGTGAATGATCTCAGCGTTCCCGTTGTTAGTGTTTGAAGTACCAGATGGTGTTGTGAAAGACTGTCATCTCTGATCGATCACGAAGAAAGTGGCCCTCAGTCATAATCTGTTCCAGATTTCATCTGAACTTTACAGGTGCTGTCCGTTAGCTCCTGGATCCCAACCTCTAAATTCAGAGCCTTAAATAGCTCCTGTGAAATTAGGACTAAAAATCTGGAGTGGCGTTCTCAAGCCCACACTGGGTCTTTCCTTTACATGCCTGTTTTATTCTCCACTCTGATCAGAATGATGATATTTTGAATGAATGAATGAATGAATGAATGAATGAATGAATGAATGAATGAATGAATGAGGAGTGAAAGCTTAACTAGATGTCAAAACAAAGGTCTTAAAATCCATGGCACAACCCATGCTTCCCCATCCCTGTAGGCTTGACATCTTGGCGAATGCCTTTAAAGTTGAGGCTAAAATCAATCCACAAACACCCCACAGCTCTGGAGTTAATAGAGCTAGAATGAAATTTAATGTGGATAAGTGCCGTGTTCTACAACTATGGGGGATGCATAGTTACAAAATGGGGGATATTTGGCTCAATAATACTGCGAGTGAGAAGGATCTTGGAATTGTTGTAGGTCAAAAGCTGAATATGAGCCCACAGGGTGATGTAGCTGCAAAAAAAGGCCAATGCTATTTTAGGCTGCATTAACAGAATTATTTTGAATTGTGGTGCTGGAGGAGACTCTTGAGAGTCCCCTGGACTGCAAGGAGAACAACCCTCTCCTTTCTGAAGGAAATCAACCCTGAGGGCTCACTGGAAGGACAGATCCTGAAGCTGAGCCTCCAGTACTTTGGCCATCTCATGAGAAGAGAAGACTCCTTGGAAAAGACCCTGATGTTGGGAAAGTGTGAGGGCAAGAGGAAAAGGGCACGACGGAGGACAAGACGGTTGGACAGTGTCATTGAAGCGACCAACATGACTTTGACCCAACTCCGGGAAGGCAGTGGAAGACAAGAGGGCCTGGCATGCTCTGGTCCATGGGGTCACGAAGAGTCGGACAGAACTGAATGACTAGACAACAACAACAACAGAAGTATAATCTTCAAATCCCATGAGGGACTAGTTCCCCTCTATTTGGCACTGGTTAGGCTTCATCTTGAGTCCTGTGTCCAATTCTGGACGGGAACCTTCAAGAAGGATGGCAACACACTGGAGCAAGTTCAGAGGAAGGCAATGAGGAGGATCAGGGGACTGGAAACCAAACCCTAGGAAGAAAGATGGAAAGAACAAGGCTTGTTTGGCCTTGAGAAGAGAAGAAAGAAGGAAGACAGGAGAGCAAACTTTTCAAAAGCTTGAAAGGCTGTCTTACAGAGGAGGGGCAGGATCTGTTCTCCATCACTCCATAATGTAAGGCATGTAATAGTATGCTCAAGTGACAGGAAGCCAGATTTCGTCCTGAGTATCAGGAAAAAACATCTTAACTGTTAGAGCTGTACGACAACGGGACCCATGACCTTATGGGAAGGTGGGGAGCCCTCCAACACTGTAGTCTCTCCAGAGAAAATGGGACCACCCTCTGTCAGATCTGCTTTGAGTTGGCTTCCTGCCTTGAGCAAGGGGTTGGACTGGATGGCCTCGGTGGACCCCTTCCAGCTCCATGATTCTGTGATTCTTTTATTCTATGATTTATCCCTTCCGCTCTCCTGCAGGTGTCGGATCCCTGAAAGGCACCGAATTTTAAGATCCCTGCATTGCAGATTTTGCCTTGATTGTCCTTTGCTTGAAGGAGGTCCTAAGGTTGGAGAAACGGAGAAGCCGAAGGTGAAAACCACATGAGCGGGCAAGGGGTGAAAAGCTGAGGCAGGCTGGGTTGTTTTTTTTCTCCCCACCCCTTCTGTAAAATTTGGATCAAGTGGAAAAGCGGGACCTTCCCTCCGTCACTGCTCTGCTCTTGCCCAGGCGGCTGCATCTCCTCAGTGGCTTGTTGACATTTGAATAAATCAAAATCCAAACGAGCTGGAGGAATGCAAGGGGAATCGAGGTGAGGCGAGGCAGGAGAAGAGCGCTGGGGGACCCGGGAGGTGCCGGGGAGGGGGGGAACTTTCTGAAACCATCGCAGGCAACGTCCCAGGCCAAGCAGAGCAAGGTCCTGAGGACTCCTTTGCTCATGAGGAGAAGCAAGGGATGCTGAACTCAGTGCAGGGAACCTGGCATGCAGGACTTGGATCGTCATGGAAGTGGACCTCAAGACCTCCTTACAGCTCCGGGTCCCCAGAGCTGCCTCCTCACCCGGACCTCTCGGGGCACTCCCGAAATGACAGGAGACAATCTACAAATCCCAAGGGCCCTTCCTGGCCACTGAAGGGGGGGGTCTTCAACTGGAGTGATGTGGAGTGTGCGCAGCAAGGCTTTGGATCCGAGTCTGAATCTTTAGCACCAAGTCCCGAGTCCCTATTAAAAACAAGTTTTTTTTCTCCCCCAGAAAAAAGGGAGAGGCAGGTGGGTTGTGAGTTGCGATTCGAATCCGAGTCATTGGAAAAAAATTAAAACTGAGTCGTGTTCGAATCAAATCACTGGTTCGACTCCAGCCTGGCTTGACAGCGAGTCCCAACTTGAGTTCCCATCCCTGGTAGAGAGTCCCTCCCTCTCTCTGCCCCCCTCCCCATCCCACCCAAGCGCTGATGTCATAAGGCCCTAGGTGGGTTCAAAATGACCAGCATGATCAGATTGGAGGCCCCAGAAGGTAGGAGCCTGGGAGAGACCGAACTCATCTTCTGTGATTGGAGTGGGTGAAGTGGCCTCCGAGAAAATCTGCCCCTGTGGCCGAGAGAACGGCAGATCTTTCTTGGCGTTTTCCTCCTCTCTTCAAGATGCCCAGGTGAGGCTCAAGACGTTCTACCAAGCTCTCCTGGTGTTCCCCCCTTGCTGATGGCCATGCGGCTCGGTCCCTTCTCTCCTCCTTCCATGGTGGCCTTCTCCTTGCTTTTAGAAACCATCTCCGCCACACCGTTTGTCCACCTGGTCTATACCGACAACTCCACCTGCCTTGACTTCAAAGCCGTCCCGGCCTGTTTCGGGCCCCTGCTCTCTCACACGGGCATCGTGGGCAACTTGGTGGAGGCGGTGCCCGGAAACGCCTGCCAGCCGGTGGAAGCCCCGCCAGCCTCCAACCAGACTCCGCCGGGGTTCATTCTCCTCATCCGCCGGTATGACTGCCCCTTCGGCACCAAGGTCCTCCACGCCCAGCGTGCTGGCTACCAGGCCGCCCTCATCCACAACCTCTACTCGGATCGGCTGGTGAGCATGGACGTGGAGAGGCCGGAGACGAGAGAGCAGATCCGGATCCCTTCTCTTTTTATCGGCGGGTCTGCCTCCAAGCTCCTGAGGAGACACCTCCGTTCCGGGAAGACCATCCAAGTCAGCACCGTGATCCCTCGGGATTACGAGAATCCATGCTGGGATCCCTCGGAGTACGCCGGCCTGGATTACTCCACTCGTCACCATGACCTCCGTTTCTGGCCTGGATACTGTACGCAAAGGATGATCATCAGATTCCTGGAGGAGTTTGGATTTCTCATCCTCCTCGGCCTGGTTCTCTCCTCCTTCATCTTGGCCGGCTGGGTGAAATGGCGCCACCGACGCCACAGCGCCCGAACGAGGACCTTCCAGAGGGGAGACCCGTATGACCTGTGCGTGATCTGCATGGCCGACTTTGAAGAGGGCGATGGGCTGAAGATCCTCTGGTGTGGCCACGCCTACCATCACACCTGCATCGACACCTGGCTTCTCATCCAGCCCAAAACTGGCAAGACCTGCCCCATCTGCAAACAGGAGGTCCGTGTGGCCACCTAAGGGTGTGTGTGCAAAGGGCAGGGTCCGGAAGCCTCATCATCATCATCAGGAGGAGGAGGAGGAGCAAGAGGACGGAGGAACCCCATCGGGTGAAAAGCAGAAAGAACAAGTTTCTCCCACACACCAGTCCGTGGTCCTTCTTCTTGCTGTTGTTTTTTTTTTAGGGGGTGGGGCAGGGGGAGATTTGATATTTAATTGGTTGGAATAGGTACTGATTCGGATTTATTTCCCTTTTCTTGCCCGGTTTTACCCCTTTTTCTGGCTTTTTCATGGAAATAATAACAACAACAATAATAAAGCCGTTTCTTTGGGAGTGCTGATATGGAAAAGGGTCGAGCACCTTGCCGGTGAGGAAGGGAAGGTGGTTTGCTGTTGTCGCCAAGATCGTGGTTTGTTCTGAGCCATCAAAGCCAGTTCAGAGTTGCAGGGACCCTAATATGGGATTTTTGTTGTTGTCGTTGGGGACGTAGGCAAGATGTTCGCCTACGTCCCCAACAACAACCCCTTAAAAAGAGGTTGGGTCTCAGGTATTGGATTTTTGAGATTTGTGGACTACAGAACCCAGATGTCTGTGAGAACTCCCCCGCCCAGCCCCCAGCCACGGCTTCTGGGGGCTTTAATCAAGCATTCAAAAGTCCTGGCAAATATTTTCATGTTCTCATGGTTAATGAATTCAGCCAGCTAATTCTTTGTCTCCGGGAGCTGCAGGGGATGATGGGCATGGGGAAGACAACCATGCTCATCATTCCCTGCCGCTCCCACAGCCATGCCCATCTGCTTCTGCCATCTTTCCCACCAATTTTCACAAAAGGAAGGTTCCCCCCTCCCTTTTGTGAAAGGAAGCACAGCGCAAGCAAGCAAAAGGGACACTTGACGGGTCATAAAGACGCGATCAACCCATCTATTGCTACTACTCTGACAAGTCCATGCAGCAACCCTTCTTGCGTTTTCCCACATTACATATAGAAAACGGTGTTTTTGACATATGCGAGATGTTCAAGGAATAATTTCCCATTGCTACATCTCGGTGAGTTTCTATGTCCCAGTAGGGATTTGAACCCAGATCTCCCGTGTCTTAGCTGGACTGTCTGTCTTCTAAACCTCACTGCCTCTGTCACTTCCCCTCCCAAAGCCCTTGGATCAGGGAAAGCTTTATTCTTCTTCTTTAAAAAAAAACAAAACCAAAAATGAGAAAGAGACTACATGGAATACTATTTGATTATATCAAAATGCAAACAGCACATGGAAACCTATTAATGCTTTTCCTTTTGCTTTGTGGGGGGAAGAACGGGGTGCACAAACCCACAGAAATACATCAAGATCAGTTAAGAACATGTTTCCCCAAAGCCGTCTTAATTCATTTTATAGCCCTATCTATTTATCTCCTGTCTCCTTTATTCCAAGTTTCTCTTTAATATATTGTATTACTAATTTCCGGCTTCTCGGCATCACTTTATAGCTTTAAGAATTCCTCAGAAGCATTTGGAGCTTAAGGACTTTGCATCGCTCCCATATTTTCATTATTAAGGCTTCTACCTGGGGAAGGTGAGTGGCAGTGGGAAGACCTAGCGAGGACTCCAGTCATGCGGGTTTCTGCGGGTCTGCTCTGGGTTTTGGTCAGAACTTTGCAGGCGCCCTCTGAAGAGCTAAACTCCTCAGGTAATTCCAGAACCTTGGACAGCTCCATTCAGACCGGATTACTTTATGCTTTGGTCATTCAGCCATTGCTAAATTTACAATTAAAACATAAATATGAACAGAGCCATGTGCACCTGCAGAGGTTTTGTTAATGTAGTGCTAGCAATTGGCAGACAAACAAACTTGTACCTTCACAAAATGCTGGGTTAAAAACAAAACACGAACCAGCTAAAATGTGCCCACAATTTATTATTTTAAAAAGTTCAGTTCAGGTTAAAACTCGGGACGGATCTCCTCCCACCCAGGTTTCCCAGGTTGTGTCTGTTTTTCTCAGAGGTGTCAATTTGGCCACCATCCGAAGGACTAGAGAGGTCCAGAATGGCTAATTTTGTGTTCCTTGAATGATATGGAAGATTTGATGCCACTGGTGGTATCTCTGACTCCTTCCGTTTTCATCTTTCATTTAATCTTTTGCTCCCAGTGTCTCCTTCCTTCTCCCCACTCCGGTGAAGGATTCTACCTGAACACAAACACATTTTGTTAGGGCATCGTGTGCATCAAGGTGTGGGTTGTGTGGGTTTGTGTGTTGTTGTTTTTTTGCACTTGTTGCTAAGCCAAGCGGCTAAGCCGTGAACCCGATCCTCCAGGGGAACCAGGAGAAAGCTCCGAGTCGCGATTCCTCCTTACAACTCAACAAATCAAACACCCGCTGGTAATGCGATAAGATGGATTGAAGCTGCTTGGGAACATAATGAAGCAAAGCATCCCCCCCCCCCCAGAAGCCAACCCTGATGTTGTGTTATGACACCACCACCCTTCTCTTCACCCACTCCTTGTGACATACCAGAAGCTTTTTTTTTTTACACTCGCCACCATTACACTTCCGTAAGCTTTCCCCCTCTGTTCCCTGAGGGAGACGGAGAAGCGCCGCCTCGGACGATCAAGATTCATGGTTGTGGCTGGGAGCGAGCGCAGGACACTGTGAAATCTATCACTTTTCCCGGAGAGTTCAGCTGCTGTGGTGGATTAGCATGCGAAGAAACCCTTAAGATCATGAAAGAAACACGCAATAGAAGAGGGCCGTTCTCCTTTCCGATCTTTGACATCACAGCCTTCTCCACAATGAACCGAGACACCAAAGATCTGAAGTGTCCTTGAAACTAGTGAAGAAGGGTAGTCTCATTCTCATTGCGAATCTCCAAATGCATTCCCTTTGAGGTCGAGATTGCTGTCGCGGCATTCGGAGGGAGTCTGGGAAACATAGTTTTGTGCGCTCAGGTGCCAGGGGAAACTACCTTTCCCAGGCCTCCCAAAAAGAATGGAGCAGTCATGAAACACATGATGTTTTCGTTTCTGTGGCCACCTCCAGGTCACAGAGAAGAGGAACTCTGGTTGATCAAGGGGCAGGAGACAGGACTCCATGTAGGTCACGCCCAAATTAAGGAAGGCCCATTGGAGCTCCACACACTTGGAGGCCTTGGGAGCCAACAATTCCCATTTATACCAGCATCTGAGATAGAGCCAAGATGAGTAGAATGCCTGGTGCTTCCACTCTGCTGCCGCCACCACCAGGCAACCTGAGAAGATTGGAAGAGGGTGACGGGTCAAGGAAAGGCTGGCTGATAGACGGAAGTGGGGGCAGAAAACCTCATACCGAGTCAGGTTCCAACGGAGTAAGACCTAGCTTCCGTTCATACTGGAGTGGCCACATGGAAAGAGTTTGCATGCTTCACGCCATCAGCACTGAATTCTTCTGGCTTTATTTCAGGTCCAAAATGTCTACTGAAAAGCTTCTTCGCTGCCCTCCCATTTCCAGATGTGACCTTCCGTGTTTCCCTGGAACAGATAATCATGATCACATGGGTTTGAGTAACCATCTGCCTTCAAGTCTTCCATGGCTCCCAGGCTGTCACCGGCCAATTAATTTTTCTTCTCCAAGTTCTTTAACAAAGCCTCCACATTCACAATGGGAATTCCAATCCTGGGAAAAAAAATTGCAATGAACAAAATGCTCTCCCATAATCCTGTTCTGCAGGAAGTAGACTTTGTAGTGCAATAGAAGAAGCCATCGTAAAAGCCAGACGGGGGCCAGGCACCTTTTTTTTGCCCCAGATGGGGTCAACGTCTGTGGTGTGAACCTATCAAGAATCCAGACCTCTTCCCATGCCACCAAAGCTGCAATTTGCTTGAAAACGTGGTGCATAGGGAGCATTCACCTTGTTTACAATATCAGCAGTCCAGAAAAACTGCCAGAAGGGCTACCACAGTTGTAAACAGGGCCCAAGCTCCTTACGCTCCTTGTTTTGAGGTCAACCTGCAGCTCCCTCCACCCAATTGGGAGGCCATCCAAGGCTGGACCCACCACAGGATTTCCTGCCCCTGCTTTCTAGAGAGGAGACCTGCCTGCTGGGTAGCTTTTGAAGAGAGGATCCAGCATAGTTTCCCTTTACAACAATGGCTCCCAACTTTGGGTCCCCAGATGTTCTTGGCCTACAGCTCCCAGAAATCCTGGCCAGCACAGCTAGTAGGGAAGGCTTTGGGGAGTTGTAGTCCAAGAACATCTGGGCACTCAAGGTTGGAACTCCTGCTTGGAAACACTTGATATCATATCAAACGAAGCAGCTGGCAAGGTGTGGGAGATGGCTGTCCAACTCCCCATGGCAAAGCCGTGAGGTCACAAAGGTCCCCAGGAGGAGAGTGTCTTGATGGCCAGCTAAGAGGAGGTGGCCGGAGACCCTAGAGGGGTAGCTGGCAGCAGTCAAGAAGAGAAGAGGATGAAAAGAAAAAGAGGCTGCCCGGATCTATCTGCCATTTCCACCCACTTCTCTCCAATCTTGTGGAAACTCAGATCACCAGCTACTGGGTACGTCTCCTGTATAGGTTCTCAAAACGATCCCCTTCAGCTCCAATCCACCCAGCCGAGCCTCGGGTAGGATTCAAGTAAGATCTTAGAAAGCTTCTGCCAGGATGTGGTCTCCCTCTCTGCTGGCGCTGGTTTTGTTCCTTTCTGTTTTTGCCGCCGAAGGCTTCCTTCGCACCGTCTGTCGTCCTAATTCCACCACGCTGGATCTTGAGGCCCTCCCAGGCCTTTTCGGCCCTCTGCTCCCCACGGAAGGGCTCACGGGGTTCCTGGTGGAAGCAAGGCCAGTGGACCTCTGCCCGCCCATTGGAGGCCCGCCCAGCTCCTCCTTCGTCTTCCTTGCTTTCCTTTACTGGTACAAGCTCTGCTTCACCATGAAGATCTGTCACGCCCAGCAGGCAGGCTCCCAGACAGCCGTCGTCCACAACGTGAACTCCCCAAACCTGGTGAGCCTGAGGAGCGAGACCGACGTCCATCTGCACGATCCCATTCCAGCCAAGGCAGCTTCCAAAATCCTCAGGCGGCTTCGCCAGGCTGGGAAACTGACTTTAAAGCCCAGATATTTCCACTCTGCTTGCAAACGTTTCTTTGGAACTGCTCGGATCTCCTCCTCGTCTCCTTGCCGTTGCCACGCCCAGCTCCCTGGGCCTTGCTTATTGCAGATGATTTTGCTCTACACCTGTTGGGTTATCTGCTCCCTGGGGTTGGCCTTGACCTCCTCCTTGCTCCTTGAGAAATGC